TTAAGAACTTTAAATACATTAAAAAAAATTAATTACATCATTTTTTTGCTATACCTTTTAGTAATAGTGTGTGTACTGTATAGTCAAAAAAAATGTAAGTCTCATTAAAGTATAACTTTTTTATATCATTCACTTTTATTCAAATTACAATCCTGATGTATACGTGACGGTAATGAATATTTTAAAATACTTGGAAAATTGGTTTCTGGCAAGTATAGTATAAAGTTGACATAATTACAGAAAGTTGTGAATACTATATTTGTAGATCGAAAAAAAAAAACTTTCGATATTTTAATATATTTTTTAAAAAGTTTTTTGATGCTGTGAAAAATGAAAGAAATACTACAACAGTTAAAAAAATTAGTTCTTTTGGCCATACCTTATGTTTTAGATTTATGTATTGTCGCGAAAAATTTTAGATCTCGATGTGTTACGTTTCAGAATACATATTTTAATCTAAAATGTGATTGTTATGGTCTGGAGATTGATAATTTACATAAGTAGCCAAAAACTGGAGTAATAGTGCTCATATTAATTAATCCAAAAAATTTGTTTAAACTTCTACGATGTACTTTTCGCTTCGGTAAGACATTAGACGGGGTGTAATTTGCAATCAACTGAGAAAATTAATTCACCCGCAATTTTTTGCACCATCTCGTTTAAAATGTTATTCTGTATGGGGAATTCAAGTTTGCCGGGCGGAAGTGTGGTCAGAAATTGTTTAAACAAATTATAAAAATTAATTTTTTCGAGAAATCAAAAATGGCTCCTTCCTCTTTGGCCCATTCCAAACAAATGATAAATTGGAATGTATGTACACGCAAACCCCACAGTTTTCGAGTGCAAAATTACCAAAGTTTGGAAAAATGCTGTTTTTCCGATTTTTAGAGCTTGACATAAGTGCTAAATAAACTCATTTTCATATGTTATAACATACGAACGTCAACTATCAACTTTCCTCTACAATCTCCAAAAAAAAATGTCAAAAATTGAGTGGCAAGATTGTTTTTTGCAATAAACATTTAGGGCGTTTTAGCAAACGCTCTCGTATGAGTGTATACCTATACATGTTTACTACACGCTAAGCCACGAAACGTATATGTAGGTATACACTAGAACGTTCTACAAAAATTTTTCCTATCAAAAAAAAACCCTCAAGCATATTTTTGGATCACTTATTTCTTCTATATTCGTTCCTCTTTAAAAATTTGGCTAATTTGTAGTTTTTTCGTAAGTTACTTTATCAAGTAATATATTATAAGTAGTACTGTAGAAAAAAAATAGCTTCTCCAGAAAACACAAACTTAAACTTCACTACTTATCAACAAGTTTATCTGCAAAGTATCTAAACAGGATCCATGCCCAAATCTAACTGTAAATGTAGTTTTCCTAATTAGATACTAATACAATATATTCTTTATGAAATGACGGAAAAAATTTTAATCATAAACATGCATATCCTTGCATCTCAGTAAAAAAAAAAAAAAAAAAAAAAAGTAGAGTCGCATGTAAACATGTGAATACTATTAATTTGTATTGAAATTCTTTTCTTTCGAAAAGATATTCATCAGCTACTTACACACTCAAGTATGAGAAAACGTAGACGCTAACATTATCCAAGTTCAAAAGAACCGAACAAACAAGGCTTCTGCTGATAATCAAAAATCGCATGAAAAGATCAAAGCCCAGCTTTCTGGATTAAAAAAAAAAAAGTAATACCAGTACAAAGTAGATCGAATCCAATAATTTTCCAACGCAGTCACAGAATTAAAAAAAAAAAAAGGTAAAACCTGTCATGTCCCGTTAAAAATTCCATGATTTACCTTAGCCTCCTTCGCGCACAACCGCCATAATCAAACGCACACCCATTGAAAGCTCCCAGTATAAGGCCCAATTAGCCGAACTCGTCCGCGGAAAATTCATATTTACTCTCGCGCACGAGCTCGATCCGTCAAACTTTCTCGTGCCCGCTCGATTCCCGCGGAAATAAGGTCGCGCGTTGCACGCACTCGCCCGCGGAAGGAGAAGACACGCGCCCGCGCGAATCTAATCCGCGGAAATTGCGATCTCGTTTATTTGCCGAGGCGCACTTAATAACCCGGACAAATTTCACCCGTTCGCGGGGATATGGTCGTTTTAATTAAACCAACGTGTGGGGAGGGGCTGGTATACGCGCACCGTACACTTTCTCCGGGCGCGCACTTTGCCTTGGGTGTACTTGCATTTATCGACTCCGCGTTAGGGTGTATACCTATAATATAAGGCGAACTTCATCTTTTCACTTCTCTCTTTCCTCCTTCTTTTCTTCCTAACTATAGGGAAAGAGAAATGAGACTTTTGCTCTGGGTATTGGCTGCTGGAAAATAAGGGGACGAAGGGGTCCCGTGACCCCTCGCCGCAGTATCACTCTTACCGCGTACCTATCGATGTAGCCAACAAACTCAATATTTTATTAGTATTTTATAATGATTTTTATTGAAATTCACGGTAATGTACCTTTAAATTTTTCTGGTTTTGATTAGGAAAAAAAAATTTTTGTGTATTACAATATTATTGTTACATTAATTACAATATTATTGGTGTATTACAATAGAAGTGCCCTGTATTTTGTCGTGTGTTGTGTATTTAAAAAATGTAACTGCCACTCATAAAGACATGTAAATCAACTATTTCAAAAGATTGTGCTTAGATTGGGTTTGTATTCATGTTTACACCAAAACCCGACAGTTTTTAATCCAAAAAATTTCGTCGAAGGGAAAAATGTTATCAGCCCCAGGATAGCACAATTTTCATAAATTAAAGTTAGTTTTTTTCAGAACCATCTTCATGTTTAAGAACTTTAAATACATTAAAAAAAATTAATTACATCATTTTTTTGCTATACCTTTTAGTAATAGTGTGTGTACTGTATAGTCAAAAAAAATGTAAGTCTCATTAAAGTATAACTTTTTTATATCATTCACTTTTATTCAAATTACAATCCTGATGTATACGTGACGGTAATGAATATTTTAAAATACTTGGAAAATTGGTTTCTGGCGAGTATAGTATAAAGTTGACATAATTACAGAAAGTTGTGAATACTATATTTGTAGATCGAAAAAAAAAAAAAACTTTCGATATTTTTATATATTTTTTAAAAAGTTTTTTGATGCTGTGAAAAATGAAAGAAATACTACAACAGGTCAAAAACTACATAAATATGA